TGCTGAATAATCTCGATATGAATCACAGAAAAATTGCAATTATATGCAATTAAATGCTTAAATCCGTAAGCATTTCTTTACCACCATTAATACAATTAAATGATAATCAAAATTTTCACATCACTTTCAATAAAACACTCACTCAATGCAATGATTGTCTTGTAATTAAATTTCATTAACAAAACACAAAACAAAAGCACAACTAAATAATGAAAGTTAAGTTTGATGTGACAAAACCTCTTACATATAAACAACGATTCAAAAAGTGGTCCAATTCTCGGTGTAATTAACGCTATATTTAATTGATTATTTTAACCATAATTAAATTAATCAAAATTATCATCTTATTAATCTAGTCCAAGACTATAAGCAGCAACGGCTGTCGGCGTGGCTACCATTTTACAACGGGGTTATAGTGTTTCCCACATTTTTCCTGCTATCTCTTTGCACCATAACTCTGGGCGTGTGTCAGCTGTACATCTCGGCACAGGTACAGGAGCTCGAGATTTACTACACCGACTGCTACCCGACCGCCATCGGCAACAAGACCTGCGCCCAGACGCTGGCCGACAACCCGAGCTCTACCGGTTGTACGTGTTTAATACCGTTCGCATTGTCGGTGCCGTTCGCGGCCAACGTCTATGTCTACTATGCGCTCAATAACTACTATCAAAGTCTACAGAATTATATCTACAGCGAAAATCCGGATCAACTAAACGGTGATCTCACACCACAACACCTGTGCAACGCTGAGACCGCTTCCCTATACAACGCCTTCTCGTACAAAGTTACCGATGGCCAGGAGGTGCCGATCGTGCCGTGCGGTGCCATCGGTAACAGTTTATTCAACGATACCATTGATATATTAGACGCCGGCAGCGGTGGACTACCTGTTCCACTCCTATACACCGGCATCAGTTGGCCCACCGATCAGCAGAAGTTTAATAATCCACCAGGTTAGTTTATTATTTTAACCATATACCGTACGGTAGTACATGTCATATAATACCAAATAACACATGATACTTCACTATACACCACCTCCAAACCCCTGCCCCCAGGTTTATCCCTAAACATTGCGTACGAGAACTACACAAACCCTCCGTTTTGGGGCAGTAAAAACATCTGGCAATTGGATCCAAACAATCCGGACAACAATGGCTTAAAAAACGAGGCACTGATTGTCTGGTACCGGACGGCAGCCTTTCCACACTTTCGCAAACTGTACGCCAGAGTCGACCACAAAAACTCAACCCTTTATTACAATTCACTTCCCAAAGGGAATTATATTCTTAAAATAGGCTACAGTAAGTGTACAAAATCGCCATGCTTAGTTTTCTTGATTTTTTTATTATATAATAATAGCTTAATATTAAAACAATATTTTTTATTTAGTATTATAAGTTATAACTTATAACATTGCAAAACTAACTTGTAAGTAATGGTTTGTTGAATAGCCCTATATAAAAATATTTAGTCCTATAATATGAATAATGAAAGTAAACATGATCAAAACTAGATTACCCGGTTACTTCGTTCAAAGGCGTTAAAAGTGTTGTCATAAGCAATACCTCATGGATTGGCGGCAAAAACTCATTCCTCGGCTTCGCGTACATAGTATTCGGGGTTTTGTTGTTTTTAATGACTATTGTTTTGCTATTGATTTATATGCGATACGGACTCAGGTTTGAGATATTATGCATTAAAAAATGATGGCAACACTACTAATAACAATATTAATTTCTACCACGTCTAGTCGACGGGAACAATTGGCGTTAACCATAAGTACTCCATATTTTATGGGCCAGACATTGACTACAAGAGCTGTTTTGGTTAAGTTTTGGAGCAAATGTTTTCATTGAAATTTTATTTATTGTTAATTTTGTAATTATTATCAATTATTTATATTTATTTATAGAATATGTAATTATTTATTAATTTATTAAAATTATTTGTTTTATAAAATACACTAATATTTCCATTATTTAATATTTGCATAAATATTATTTACATTTAAAATGATTGTTACGATAATCAAGTGACTATTGAAGCGCACAATAGATATTGTTATTTTGTTTACCATAAAGTTATATAAAATCCATTATGCTAGTAAATATGACAGATAACCTTGAGAATTTTATTACCCAAAACCAATTGACAATTATGAAAAATCAATTTAAATATATATAAGTAATTTTTTTAACCAATGTCCTGCACTAGAATTCCCTTTACTGAAGACATACTGTACTTTATAAATGTACTAAAATTATTACATTAATAAAAATCGCAACAGTATTGAAATTATAGTGAAAAATATTATTATTAGAAAATTATAAAAAAGTTATTTCCCTTTCAAAAAGGCTTTACAATTGACTTTCGACGAGAGAGAGAGATTTCCCACAGAAAAAAGCAAACAAATTAAAAATCACTTTTTGAAAAACTCGTTTATATAAAAGTGATTGTAAAAAGATTACGATAATTATTATCTATAAAGACATCGGGCTATTGTGCTAATCATACCACTCGTTAACTAATCTTAAAATACTCGACACAATAGAGAGAGACATTCAATTGTGTAAAATAAAAAATATTTGTATTGATAAAAGCAATGTTTAAATTACCGACAAAATTATACGCAACGCTAATCACAATCGGTGTGATTATCGGCACATTTGCGGTGATGTTTGTCTCGTTTAAGATCTTAAGCAACACTTATGGCCAACACCTCAACGATGACACTATGGATACGTTGGTCGAGGTGTTGGTAGCCGTGTGTAACCCCGACAACACTCTGTCCGCCGATCATAACAAGACTGTTGGTCAGTGTGAGGCTCTGGTGCCCGGAGTGGTACGTTATTCATGCTATATAATGTTTGCATCTAGTTAATTAATTAAATTATTAAATGTAGTTAAATTATAACATATATTTCAATATAGTAAATTAATTCTACGAATTGATATTAATTTACATTGTATAATTATTTTGCATTTATACAAGCATTAAGTATACTAATAATAGCATTAAATATAAAACAATTTTATCAGGATATTAATTGATTTTTAAATCATGGGAAACAAATTTTTTATGTAGCAAAATATTTACGTAAATGAAAATTTACATTAACATTTTGTGGGAATTCATGATAATTTATTCAGTTTGTTGTATTTTTAATATGTAACATTGATTATTTGCTACATTTGTACATTTTATAAATATTAATAAAACATTCTCCACGTGTTGTCCCAAAGTTTCGGCANAATCTTACCGCATAACTAGTTAAAACTCTGGCCCTAATAGCGGGCACATCTATGCCAACCCATGACGCCCTTCGCGCCCACTTATCCATACATTGTTGAAGCTATACATGAAAGTTATAAATAAAATATATATAAAATAAGAATATATATTTATGAATAATTATCAATTATGGTCATACCTTATCATTTCCTGGCATAAGCCGATAGCATGGAAAAGGTTGAGTAAATTCATCAATGTCCATTGATTGGCGTATACATCGATGATAAATAAATGTAAACTATATAAAATTTTTAAGTCAATATAAATCCAGCATAATTGTAGTGTAAATTATTTATGAAATTAAAAACAAGTACCACTCGGGGAATATCATCCTCACAATCGGTGACCACTTTGGCCTTATCTGCGGGCAATTGGACACTAGTGTCGCAAATGGTGGCCATAATCTCCATCAGTGTATTCTTGATCTCATCACTTATCAACTCCTGACCACAAACACCGTCGAAGACATTGAACACAATAATTACACTCAAAACTATAGACACGACAGAAAAGACACCGCAAATACTTTTGCCCATTTTGTTAGTAAAATACTTTGCATTTTATAATTGATTTTGAAATAAATTGTTAACTTTATATACGCTCACAACAAAAGCACTCATTTAATGCGATAACACAATACAAATGGTAATTAAGTGTTTAACAGAAGCCATGAATATTAAAAGTGCATTTTTAATGATTAGGTGCTGAAGAACTATCATAATTAGTTTTTAATAAGTAAAGTACCTGTATGCTATTTATTAGCATCACAGTTGTTTGAGAGAATAATTAATTACATGTAAACTATTTTTAGTAGAAATTGTTTTTACTGGAAGACTATTATCTATATTTATCTATTATAATATAATTAATTATTTAATATTATTAGAAATCTATTTATATATTTTGATTTATAAGATATTATGCTTTAAATCATTCGCAAACAGACCCTGCTGTTAATGAAGTATGATTATTATTTCATCATGATATGTTTAGAATAATAAATCACTAAAGTGAACAAATGCTTATAAATCTATCTAAAAAGTACTATACGATTAAAAGTACTAAATTTATGTTTCAAGTTAACCAAATTAAATATTTTGTTATATTGATGTGTGCATTGTTTAAAGGACATTGTTTTGTAATTATTTAGTTTATTGACCATGATTAAAAGATTATTCTATTGATAAATAGATTTACTATTGATAAATAGAATAATCACTAGTAAAGTTATATAGAGTAACTAATGTTGCTATTATATGTAAACAAATTGAATTTTAAAATATACTAAACCAAATAATTTGGTTTAGATTTTATTTATTAAATTGATTTATATAAAATACAAATATTTAAAAATTACATTTACATTATATATACAATAAATAATTAATACTTAAATATTAAGTTGAATTTAAACGTTTATCGTTTAACATTTGTTGAATAAATAAAACCGAGGTTAAAAAACTCTGGTACAAATGTATCAAAAATGCTCATTACAACATGCCAAACATCAGTCTAATAATCTGTTTGTATTAAGCATGGTTAATTTACAACAAACAGGCATTGATGTGTTTATTATAAACAACATAACAATATCTAATAATCTGCATCTGTCTCCTCATCCACGGGAACTACTGGTTTCATACATTCCTGTAAATAATTTTTAAATAATAAAATTAATATATTTTAAAGTGCTCATGGTATTAATAAAATGATTGAATACATACCGAGTATTTATTTAAAATCCTATCCCTAATGCGGGGCACTTCCAGCCCAATCATTGATCCTCTCCTTTCCCATCTCAACATACATTCAGTTAACTATAGATTTTAAACACAGAATTTAAAAATTAAAAATAATTAAGTTAAAGATTAATTAATTTACATTTAAACTGTATTAAATTAATGATGGTAATTAAAATAAATAATGATCAACACATACCCGATCGCTGCCCTTAAGAAAACGGTAGCAAATAAATGGTTGAGTGATTTCCGTGATATTCATGGCTTCGCGGACACAACTGTTGTATATTTGCCGAAACTTTGGGACAACACGTGGAGAATGTTTTATTAATATTTATAAAATGTACAAATGTAGCAAATAATCAATGTTACATATTAAAAATACAACAAACTGAATAAATTATCATGAATTCCCACAAAATGTTAATGTAAATTTTCATTTACGTAAATATTTTGCTACATAAAAAATTTGTTTCCCATGATTTAAAAATCAATTAATATCCTGATAAAATTGTTTTATATTTAATGCTATTATTAGTATACTTAATGCTTGTATAAATGCAAAATAATTATACAATGTAAATTAATATCAATTCGTAGAATTAATTTACTATATTGAAATATATGTTATAATTTAACTACATTTAATAATTTAATTAATTAACTAGATGCAAACATTATATAGCATGAATAACGTACCACTCCGGGCACCAGAGCCTCACACTGACCAACAGTCTTGTTATGATCGGCGGACAGAGTGTTGTCGGGGTTACACACGGCTACCAACACCTCGACCAACGTATCCATAGTGTCATCGTTGAGGTGTTGGCCATAAGTGTTGCTTAAGATCTTAAACGAGACAAACATCACCGCAAATGTGCCGATAATCACACCGATTGTGATTAGCGTTGCGTATAATTTTGTCGGTAATTTAAACATTGCTTTTATCAATACAAAT